AAATATGCATAGGAAAGTGCTTGTGGGCGTGAGGACACAGTATCTGAGATTTGCTTTAAAATATTCCAGCAAACTTTTTCTCTCAAATACCTGGCTCTGTGAGCCATCTTTGCTTCTTCCTGAAAGGCTGTGAAACTCTGCTTGACTGTGAAACTGCTTCCTTGCCTGTGCCTCCACGCTGGTGGGACCCCTGGGTCTTTTTTGTTTGTTTCTTTGTTTGCTCTGATTTGTTCTGTTTTGATTTGTTTGTTTGTTTTCTTTTCCTTTTTTAAGTTTGGGAGCCCCTTCTAGTTGGGCAGTATGACGTGACTTGGAAGTTACTCCCTTACTCTTTGCAGACACACAGGGACATCCCAGGGGGCATTTCTTTCTTCTTCTTCTTCTTCTTTTTTTTTTTTTTTGTGTGTGTTTCTTTGTTTTGTTTTCTTCTCTCTCTTATTCCATTTTTGTCTTTCTTCATTTCCAGTTTCTTGATTTATTCATTTTTTTAACCCTTTTTCTTTTCTTTTTTTTCATTTTTTCCCTCATTTCTCAGTCTCTCATCTCTCCACTCCAATAGCAAGCTCTGTTAGCACTCTTTTTTGTTTGTGTGTATGTTTTTGGTTCCTGTTCCTCTCTCCTCTCTCTCATCTTTCCCATACCCATCTTAGCTCCACACATCACAATCTACCCCCTCTTTTTTGTCTACCTGCACCATACACTGAACATCACACTCCCAAGCAGCATAGACATGGCCTACTGGAACCTGCCCTGCACTGATTCCCCGTCCACAGTGTCAGCCCTGGTACGTGCCACAAACAACCCATCCCAGCAACTCCCCTTCAGCTGGACCTGCCCTGCTGTACCATACCTGAGTGACTAACCCTGCCCATTGGAGAAGGAGGTGAAAATTATCAAGCCCACAGATGAGCAAACAACAAAGAACACACAGTCTGCTTGCTCAGACATAACCAAATAAAACAAAAAAGCAGGATGAAACAAACAAATCTACAATCAGTAAATGAGGAAAATAACCACTGAATGCCCCAAAGGCAGCAGACAATATCAAAACATTTACAAAAACATGACAGGCTGGTTCCAATAGGCATCCAAAATAAAACACCAGATGATCTTCCAGTAGAAGAACAGCACTAAACCTAACTGATGGGGAATTCAAATCTCTAATATTCAGAATTATCCAAGAGTTTAAGCAAAAAGCAGACAAAAATGAGGAAAAAATAGACAAATTCATGGAAAAGGCAGACAAATTCATGGAAAATACAGACCAAAAAATGTAAGAATTTGAGAAAATAATACAGGAACAAAATGCTAAAATAAATCCACAACTAAAAATCATACAAAAGCAACAATTAGAAATCCAAAAGATAAACAACTAGAGTTCAGAAACGGATAGATAGTGTCATAGAAGGGCTGAGGAGCAGGTTTGAAATGATAGAAGATAGGATCAGCAAAATTGAAGACAAACACTTGGCTACAACTCTGTTTGAGGAAAAATCAGAAAAAAGAATGAAGAAAAATGAAGAAACCCTGAGAATTATGTGGGATACAATCAAAAGCAAAAACCTGTGAGTGATCGGAGTTCCAGAACAGGGGGAGAAAACAGAAAACACAGAGAGGATCGTGAAGAATTGCTGACAGAAAACTTCCCCAACATCATGAAAGATGAAAAGCTGACCATCCAAGAAGATCAATGAACCCCATATAGGATAGACCCCAAAAGAAAATCACCAAGGCATATCATAGTCACACTTGCTAAAACCAAAGACAAACAAAGAATCCTAAGAGCAGCTTGAGAAAAACAAAAAGTCACATACAGAGGAGAAACAATAAGACTAA